TTATTGCGTGCTCTCCAAAAAACAACATCCCCAAACTATTATTACGTTGTTCTTTGGAGTACAAGACTAAGAACAATGTCCCAGGCCACATTCCATGAGGATGCCTTATCCTGTGGCTAACATGAAAGGCATTCAGTCAGAAGAAGGAGTATGTTGCAGTTGGTTTTGCAGTCCGTGTCGAGGGTAGTGTTTGCATAGAGAGAGAGAGAGAGAATACAGCAGTACTTTTGGCAAGTCTGTTTGGGGAACAAACATTAAAATCTTTGGACACACTTGGCTTGCAAAAACATTATCAACGTCTTTTTCGTTGAAGCATTGCAACCGTTAGTAGCCACTTCCATGTCGGGGACTATGTTTCGGTGGTTGCCCTATGCAACAAAACTGTGCGATTGCCTTGTACGCTAATATTGTAACAGCTTTTTGGGCGCGGGTATGTTTTGTTGAGAACATTCTTTTTGGGGTTGGAGTTCTTGATTTCCAATCAGAATAGCCCAAGAGCAGCCACATTACATGTTCCACTTTTCTGTAGGAGTTGCTTCCAAACGTCCGTTTTCTTGACATGGTGACTGGTGGTTGGTGAGCCGGTGAGTGCATAAGCAAAACCCAGAACGTAAACAGTGACAATAAGAACAACCTCAGAGACAATGTGGCACGGAAGTCGCGCGGATGATACTTGTGTTTTTACCACTAGAGTCACTAGGGGTAAACAAATCTCAAAAACTGATGCTAGTACTGACAAATGATTGACCCGGGCTTTCTTTTGGTCAGACTTGACCTAAATAGTGTTGCCGCGGGGCCATAGCTGACAGCTGTTTCAAAGGTTGCGGCCTGTTGAGCCGAAGTCTTGCGATTGCTGGGTTTCGGCTTGAACCTATCTGCCGTCTGACTGCTGACTATTGCTGACTGATGACTTGAATTATGCTCTGTGTTCATTTTAGTGTTGCGAGTGTTGTTTTATGCAGTTAATCTCTAATACAAATTTCAGATCGCCCAACAAGCGGACTGGGGGTATACATCAGTACTGCGTACAGACATAGATAAGCCGTGAAGAAGCCTCAGCAGACATGATCCACTTCATCGCAGAGATTTGTTCTCACTTCTCACAAGGGTAAACATTTTGGATTGTGGCCCTGGCAATCCACTGAGAGTGCTGTATTGTTGAAAAAAATCCTCCACGGTCCTTCGCAAAAAATATGGACGGTCATTTGGACAGCCCCTGCGTGGTAAAGTGTCGCGGTAAAGTGTTTTTTGTTACGTGGATTTGTGCTGCCCTTGGGTTGTTTTTTTGCTTTCGAGTTAGTTTTTTTGGATCAGAACGGTTCCGGAACGGTTCCGGACGGTTTTGGAACGGTTCCAGAATATAATATAGTTCTTAGCCGGCTTGGAAGGGTTCCGGTTCAAATTGGTTTTGCTCGCGGTAAAGTCTCCCAGGATTGTTTTTTTCCGGGTAAGCCCGATCTGGATCAAGGAGGGGGAAGGGTACCTCAGCAAGAAGGTCGGGAAAGGAACACTGAGGCAGAATAGCTAGGCGGGATAGAGCGCCCAGTGACTCTGCGGTATGACTAGCTTTAAGGTTTTCTCGTTGTTCTTCCAAGGTGCAAGCCACAGAACCATCTCGAATTTTTCTCAAATTGACAGTGCCACTGCCATTGAGTTCCCTCAAAAAATTTGACTTGTATTTAACAAACTTAAGGTTGACGAATAACAATGAGCCCCGACTTGAGAACGGAACTAAGGGTCCCGATTTGAGAACGTAAGGGTGACTTAAAACGACTGTAGTCTTAACATGTCTCAACTGTTGCTTTTTTTGATCCAGTTGATCAGTTGATGCTGTCCTTTTGTTGTTTAGTATCATCATATGGTGTCATATCAGTCATATGTCCATTTTCATATTTTTGTTGTGTGCCAAAGCCAGCTACAAGAAACATTCTGTGGAAAAAGGGAATGCCACGGAACCGTTCTGAACCGTTCCCGCGTCACAACCTCAACAAAATGGATTAGTTCCGAATTAGGTCTGAACCGTTCTGAACCGTTCCGTCGATGGAACCGTTCTGAACCGTTCCATGACACCTGCAAAGTTGTCACGGCAGACTTCCATGGAACCGTTCTGGACCGTTCCGTGTTGACTCAAACTCAACTCTCCTTAAAGGGGTTGAGCCAACAACCACATCATCACATCATAGTTAGCTTGGCTTTAGCATGCTGCTGAGGATGCTGCTGCCAAACAATGGTGGTACTGTACAAATATTTCAGCATCTAAAGAAAATAGTATCATATACCGTATACCTTGATTTGATTCATGGGGTTTGGATATCAATCATCATGATCCATCTCTTGATCATTGTTGCTCATGGTGCGTTTAGCCAACTACTAAATTGTGAATAATGACTGCTAGGCTATAACTTTCGCTATAACTCAGCCAGGCCTTGCGTATTGTTTTTTGCATTTTTGGTGAAGGCTTGGGTTTAGCAAATCCTCATTTGTGCAAACAACATGAATTTTAGTTTGCTTCAGTAATGAGAGGCCTGAAAAAGGCAATTAACCTTTTGCTACAATAATTTGATCCAAACTGGTCTGACTAAGTCCGAAAGATATTTTGCGTGAAATTTAGTTGCCACGGCACACTTTTACAGTATTTTGACAGCGCAAAGCTTTGTTAAATAGCACTGGAACAAATCTGTAACAGCCTGCACAGAACTCGAATACATGCCCCGTAAATTGCGGCTACAATTGCCGCCCCTGAGTAAAGACGCACGATGGATACAATGTGACTTCATGCTTGCGTAATGAGGCTGACCGCAAATACAGCATAGACTGCAACATGGACTGTTACATAGGATGCCCCCCCAAAAAAGGCAGGCATGTACAAAGCATAATTAGTGTGCAACATGCAGTGCGACATAGTTCCGTACGTGCTTAAAATTAAACAGTCCTACTCCATTTTGGCCACACAGATAGAGGCTACAAATGGAAATAAATCATGAATAATTGAATACTTCTGCACATAATTCAACATCTGGAATCCAGCCCCACAACACAACAACCGCTCTGCCCCACACCCCTCAGCCCTGCCTTGTTGGCAATTGGCCAGCGCAGTGGCAGCGCAGCGCGGTTAGCAAAGAGGAGAAGGCAGGGAGGGACAAAGTTTTAGGTTGACCCGGTTTTGCCCTCACACCCCCTCCAACCAAGCGCAAATGAGGCACTAATGGTTGCGGCGGATGGAACCAATAGATCTATGGGCGCTTCAAGAACATAGTCCCCATCCCCAGCGCCAGCTGTCACCAAATGGGCCGCTATTGCCATGGCATGCTACAGCCTTGGTATTAGCTCATGTGGAATAAACACGAACATGTGCAGGTGTGAGGCGAGAACGAATGATTTGCCTCTCGTTACAAGTTGCTCTTCTCCTATGACTCTACTTCAGGAATATTTTTACTTCTTACCGGGCCTTCCAACACAGGTGGATCAGCCGGAGTCAAATTATTGAGTCCATTTGGCGTGGCCAGTGTGGGACGGTCAGTTATCATCCTATTTCCAGGATTCTATATACAGGGAAAGTAAAGTGTAAAGGGTTTCACTTTAGAACCGTCCTAGTGCTGTATGCAATGATAATGTAGACACCTACCACCTACCACTGGTTTGATAAGGGCCCTGAACAAGCACATACACATTGCCTTCCTTCCTTCTGCTGCTCAAGCCACCTCTTCACATCTCTCAAGCACTTCCCAAATCTGAAGTGCTGGAACAGGGCAGTGAACGGCCAGCTCCTAGGCAATGCGTCGCGGTCAGATTACTGACTTGTTAATCTTATTCCAGCCCCGCGCCCCAGCCACAACATCTGCAGGAACAGGTATCATGGTTCCTTGAACACTCTAAATGGCAACATTAATAAATCAATGGCGTTACGCCCAATGGCGTTGTCTCTGTAAGTGAGTTATGTGTGTGTGTGCGGCGCAAATGTGGAACAAATAATGAAGGCACGCACAGAGCCACACAGCGGGTCACCAGTCAAACCGGTCCTGCATTTTTGTCCAAAGCATCTTGGATGGATCTGCTCCAACATAGCACTTGGAGTGAACTCCCCAGCGACTCTGACCAAATCACTCAGCACTTTTGTAAATACACGCACCTGATTCAGGCCAAGGTGCATCACAAACACATACAGGTGGCCATTTCATTCTAGTCATCTAGTCATATGTTTTCACCAATCACCAATAATAACTAAACACCATCAATTTCCCCACAAACATAGGTTCACCAAGATCAGGCCTCTTTCATGCTTCCATGCTGCAGTACCAGTGGTGAGATCTCACCCAACGCATCCCTGATCCCAAGAAGCCGCGCTGCCAGTGCACTTGACATGGCAAACAGGTTGCGGAACTATTTAAACTTGAAGTTGAAATTCATGGTTCAATTCATAGTCATAATGGATTCTTGGGTGGGTTGTTTGTTCTTCTTCCCTGCCGATGGAGTGCAGTGGTTAATGGTGGTTTGTGGAAAGTTTTGCTTGTTGTGGTTGTTGGTTTTTGTGAAATATAAATAAGTTGCATTTGCAGTGTGATTGGTCTATTGAATGACTCATCATCGTGTTTTTCTTTGATTGACTTTTGGTGTTTGATGGTGTTTGCATGGATTCTCTGACCCCCTGTGTTGACAACCAACCATAACCCCAGCCACAACATCTGCCGGAGCAAGCAACTCTGATTGTACCATGGTTCATTGAAACACTCTCGACAACGCATTTGATCCATGTCAAGTGACCACCAAGCCTGGAAAACAGTTAGCGCGATGCATTCAAAAGTTAGTGCGGAGAAAACAGTTATTTCAGTTTTCCGTGAAATTTGCCAGTTTGATGATCTTCTTGCCACGACTGTAGTTTCCGCTAACAACTCTCTTGTTACTTCATGGGTCACAGATTTGACATGCACAAGATATCACACGATCCATCTGCGGTGCTTGTCACCGCGACTAGTCACAGGTGAAAAACGCAGTCAGGGCACGAGAACGGCACTGTCACCATAGCCCATGCTTGCTGAAAACGTCAAGGAATCTTGCCTGGCAAACCAAAAACTTTAAGAGCCTCTAAGCAAATGGCCATGTGCAGGGAGTTCCAGTTTCACCATCGAGTCTAAATGAAAGGAAAACCGCCGTGACCCGAACAAGTCCGGCGCCACTTCTCCGTGGAATTCGTGACGAACTCCAGAAGTTCGGACTCATCCAGTGTCTCCAGCTTCTTCCTTGGCCAGAAACAAACACATCGTCGTGCAAGCCCATTTTTTTGGGCCGCCCATTCCCGGTTCCTCCCTGCTAGACCATCCATGGGATTGGAATACATGCACTGTGAAACTTACCTCGTTTATGATCCATCCATGGATAGTAACTATAGTCCACATGGATGATCTGGCGAAGCAGGTTTTTTCTTGAAGGTTGAAGTAAAGGTCCATCCGACTCATATGTTGAAGAAAGTGGGGAAGTCAGGGGCCAAGCAAACATCCACTTATCGGATGGTGCATCAATCCTTCCTCAAAATAGGCAGGAAAGCACACGTGTGAAGACATCTGGGTGACTAAACATAGGGAGACCCCTCATTCAACCGCTGAGAAGAAGGTATATATAGATCAGTCTACCCAGAAGGCCAAAGGGTCTCCCTGAGAACATCAATTCTTCTTCTTTCCACGCTCTAGGACGCCGAGAAACCTCCGGCCAGGGCCCCACCAGATCACCATCCACCCGAAAGGATGGCTCTTTTTTCCAACCCCGGGATATCATGTCTGGGTTCTAGGTATATAGGGTCAACATCAGCACCCTAGGGATCCACATGCCGAACCTCAAAAGGGCGCTTGGACTCTCCAAACCGACATAAGGCACTGTCTCCAATCATCCTCTCAAAGGGCACAAATGGGGACCCATCTAAAAGAAAATCAACACATAACAAAAACGTAAATGTAACGCATGGTTTGGGTCTATCTGATCTATCCTCTAAATTCCTGTAACAGTGGATGATGGTGGTTCAGTTGCAGGCCTTGTTCAAACACAAATGAGCGGTGTTCAAAATTGTGTTGTCTTTTCTTGCCGAGAAATCAAACCTTACGGTAGGCCTTACGCAAAGCTTACGTTCTTCTATCTTTTGCTTACGGTGACACATGTATGCATGGCTATTCTTACGTTGTGCTTACGGCGAAGGTATGCAAGTCCACTATGGTCACATATGAAATGTTGTTGCAAAACAAGCAAGGACAAATCAACAAGTGTCGCTTCCGGTAGCCTTCCGGCATCGTTCAAGTCTGCACATCCTTACGGCAAACCTTACGGACACCTTACAAACATCAGCTAAAATCACTATGTTCACTGATTTTTCGCCGGTCCCTGACTAAAGAGAAAGGGTGAATTTTTTAACGCTGCTCAAATATAATTGTTGACTGACTGTTACAGGTAATAGCACAGACCCAAGGTAAATGTGGATCCAACGGTGACTCACCATCATCCAACATCATCCCTTCGCAACTCACCAATATCACTTGCCACGTGGCTGTGCCTCTTCACGGAGATCCTGCAGCGTGCGGTCCCCAGTTTCGGCTCCTGGTCTGGGACGTCGGCATCTGTACAAGCATCTGTACAACAAACACAACGTGTATGTGTTTCTTTTCTTCATGCCTCTCTCATGAAAAAAAAGAAGCTGGCAGTTCAATGGGAGATTGCTAACTACTTGTGAATCCGGCTCTACAGAGACCTTTTGACAGATTTTTTGATTTTGCTATCAAAGAGGACGTTTGGTGAATGCTTGATGCTTCATGCCAGTATCGCACAGGTCCAACCGTTCATGTGGAAAAACGTAAACTCTTCGACTGGATATGGAATGCGGAATGGCTCTCATCCAGCTATCTCTCAAGCGCACGAGCGCTCACCGAAGAATCAACGAACCCGCTAGCCATTCAAAGGAAGTAACAAGTGAGATGGAGAAGCAGATGTGTCAAAGAAGATTTGACAGACTTCTATCTTGCAAACATGAAAGTCCTCAGTTTCGACTACAAGAGTGTTGTCCTTCGACCAAACAAGATGCATAACGTCTCAACGAGCAAATGCTCAGAGATGCAAGCCCTCGCAGAACGAGTCAACGAGCTACTCCGAAAGAGATGGCAGTGGATCGATCACTGGCGGACCCTGGAGTTGGCACCTGAAAAATGAACAGAATGGACGACCTTGGGCATTCGCTGATCTGAGAGTCGTGGATGCGACCGTCTGCGAGGTGAACAGAATAGACTACCTGGGAGGTGAACCTTCCAGGGTTTGGCGGTCTTGACCCACAGCCCTGGACGTAGAAAGGAGTCTCTCATCTCAAGGTGCTGAGTCGGCACAAAGTCAACGCGTCAATGGGTTCGGGTCCGATGTCGAGCCGCAGGAATCAGGAAGCCGAAAGGAACCCGCTTCAGCATCATTAAAATGCTGAGAACGTCCAGCTTTCTGCAGGTGTGTTGTGCAGCTCTCATCTGTCAAAGAAAACACAAACATGCCATGGCTAACTGCTGATGACCTGCAGTTTGGGCAGTCTGAAGTGGATGTTTCAGAAGTGGGTGACAGAAATGAGAAGAAGTTCAGACAGGTTTCATGCTGGAGAAATCTGGTGTGGAAATCGATCTTTGAAGTCAGGTTCCAGTGGCTGACACAGCAGGAGATGAACGATATCAAACTACAAGAGAAACAAAAGTATCCAGCTGCATTTGAGAGGCGCTCCTAAACTGGGATCACCATCGGATCATGGGATCAGGCAGCCCAGCGACATCCAGCGACCAGCGGTTTGTTGGCAGACCGTCACTTTCCGCAAACACCAAGGTTTGTGAAGCTCTCAAGCGCTTGGTCAAACATCCATCCAGACCGGGAAAGGATCGAAACCCAGGGAAACGCAGAGATACGCCACTCGAACGAAGAAGAGAGACGGATGAACATCATCGGCCCGTTCGTGGCGTTGTTGGGAGGGCCCAAAGGAGAACATGAAACATGGAGTTGGACTCACCCATTCACTTGGTCAAGGTTGCCAAGATTGAAAAAAGCGACTTCATCAGCTTTTCGTCCGCGACTTCATTTGGGTCGACTTCTGTAGCTATTGCTTCAACGTGAAAATGCTTGTCGATGACGGCTGTAAAGGTAGTAGATCTGCAATCTCTAACAGCTGAGATTTGTCTCATCAACATAGATGTACTATCCCTCAAACTCATTGGTGAAGATGTCTCAAACTCACATCTATCAAAACTATCCCTCAAACTATCCCGAAACAAAAAAAGTTTGCAGCAGAGCTTCCGTACTCATAAATCCTCTTCACCATGTCTTCCAGCTTTTCAGCATCAATGGGCTTCGAGCGACTGTGCCTGCATTCGACATCCCGCGCGCCCAGAGTCGCGGCTTCTGCTCCAGCGGTCTGGAGAGTTTGGATGTCACATCTTCACCGTTTAGAAGGTCACTTAGAGACTCCAAAGGTCACTAGACTGGCCATTCAAACGGACTCCAAAGGGACTTGCAGGTCACTTAGTGACTTTCTAATGACCCCGACGCGGATGATGGTTCTTTGGGTGGAGGCCCTCAACCAATAAAACTTTTCTTAAGTGGAGGGGTCCGAGGAGTCATGTTCTTTTCCTTTCTTCAAGGCCTCGAAGTTATCTATCATTGGGGACCTTCAAAGTGACCGAACTTGATATCCCAGGATGAGGTCACTTAGGTCCGTCGAAGGTCACTTAGAGACTCCAAAGAGAGGTCATTTTGAAGGTCCTGGATGGTCCTGGTACCTAGCCGGTCTGCTCATGTATTCATGCATTCCGTCACCGGTGTCAGACTTCACCGGATGGAATGCCAAGCATCAAGCTGATCATCAAACCTCTGTGAACTCTACAAGCGCCTTCGTCTAGGTGAACCCCCCTACACTGAAGATAGTCATCACAACCAACATTGAAGCACCAAACCTCATAGTAGACATCTTACATGAAATCCAACCAATTTAAATCACCACTGGTTTCAACATCAAATCTGGACATAGTAAGCTCTCGGTAGAACTCAGTGATGCCGGATTTCGATGCATTCCCAGTGACCAAACCAGCTTGTCGGCAGTCTATCCAATGGACAGCCAGCTCAAAAATGGTGTGAATTAATCCTTTTTCTCGGAAGGAGGAACACTTCTGCTTTGGTCCTCTTTATGGTGATGGTGAGTATCTTGACACACGAAGAAGTGAAAACCATCTACATCCCTAAACCCAAGCTGTGTGAATGAGTGTTATACGGTATGCCAACTAGTATACCGTTATGTCTAGGGGGTACTCACTCACAAACCACACGCAAACAGAAACGAGCTTGTAAGTAAGTAGGAATTCCTTGAGTTCTCCACTCCGCATCCTCTGATTCTTCCAATACCCAATTCCTTTCCGCCAGGCGGCTCCACTCGAAAGCCCGACTGAGCATCCGAAATGCACCAGCACTCCGCCTCCTGTGCTCGTTCCTCGTACCTCGACAACCAGCTCTTCACGTTCTCTGCCACGATGCCGCCGGTGAAGCCGATGGGCTGCCCGACACCGCGTGGATAGCCTCAGCGAGGAGGAGACAGGAAGAACCCTAGGGCTCCTGGCCGCCCCCTCCTGAGGTACGGTGGTTAGGGTGGGTGCCAGGTAGGTCGAATACCACCGAACCTGAGGATATGGACCAGGAGCCCTAGGGAACATCTCGGGGAAAACCAGGAAACGACAGCCTCCAGCTCGAGCCACATGGTGCAAAGAGTCGAGTGCTGGGTGAATTGAGCCATGCAGGTGATTTGCTGGGTCTTTGCAAAGAAATTGAGATCAAGTCAATTCCTCTAGCGGCAACAAGTCTATATGAAATCTCCTCTTGACAAATGTCAGTGTTGCTCAAGGCTGCACGATGGACAACCCAATTGACAGGGCATGGGTAGCTTGGCCGGGTTGTCCTGCATGTCGTCTATCTTGAAGACCACCATAAATATAACAGAATGATCAATCCTATCCACCCAAATGGCCTCACAACCACTGGTAACGACTGGTAACCTGGTCACCAGTGTCCTTCCACACCTTCGACACCTCTTCGACACCTCCAAGCCACCCACCGGGATCTCTGGCACCTCCGTGGGTTGGATCCCCAAGCCGCCGCTGTCATCGAAGAAGGCCGCCAGGTTCTGCAGCGTCCGCGCGTGCGTGGCGGAAGCCGCGCGCGCCCCGCGGGAGAGGTCCAGCGTTTGACGGACCCAGGGCCAGGAGGTCACCCCATCGCGCCTGGGCAGAAGGGTCGCAGAAGGGGCGCGCTTGGGAGGGTCGCGCTGAATCTGGGATGGGCTGGTGAGGCGAACGGGAGGCGAACGGGAGTTTGGAGTGACTGATGTTCTGCTCGCATGAAGAACACAGCGTTTCTCATTCCAGGCTTGAAAGTTAGGGAATGATGCGGGGATGAGAGATGTTTTTTTTCAATCCAGCACTGCGATGGATGGAGTTCTGGATGAAGTTGGAAATTCCAGAGACGTGTACATCTGCAAGTCACTGGAGTGGAATGTTGGGATTCAATTGGAGTGTTTTCCAATTCTACTGGTCTAAGAGAATCCTAGAACCAACACATGAAGAACACGCAAAAAGCTCTCTGGATCTTTCTGATACATATATAGAGAACAAGGATGATCCGTATGATTCTGTATGTCTTCCTCCCCTCCCCTGCAAGCCCACCCTACACACCACCTGACACCAAACCCGACGAACGTCCGACCGACCGTCTCAGACCGACTGAGAACACCAGCGAGGGGCTCGAAGACCGAGAGCAAGAAGATGGTCTCCGGATATCTCGCCGCCAGCTTCACCACGGTCTCAGAACCTGCAGTCCGAGTCGAAGTCCGAGTCCGGATCTGCTTCGTCCGAAATGGATCTCGGAACCTGGAGTTGGGGGGGAAGTCCCGGGGTCGATGTGTGTGTGTGTGTACCGGTACATGATTTCAGAAGTGACATGGCGCGCAACGTGGTGGAAGTCCCGTTGGAAGTTCTGATTCTAATTCGCGTTAGGTTGTGAGATGGCGCACAACATCATGCACAACTTAACTGTTATTTGTTTGTGTTGTTTTCTCGGCAAATTCTGATTCAGTGAGTGATCTGATCCGACCAAAAGGAGAGAAGCTTCGAAACAGAAATACCTTGGGTCTTGGGTGCGAACTTTCTGTAGCGTCGTCGTCATACGCAAACAAGCTGGAGGTGGACCACCTCCCCGTCTCTCTCTCTCTCTCTCTCCAAGAATTGCAATCAGAGTTGGGCCATGTTCTATCAAACCATGCCTGTCAAAGCACAAACCAACGCAATGAGAGATAGGTATGCCTGTCACATGTATCTATATAGTCGTTGTCATATACGAGTATCAGTTCGCAGGCTGCTTTTACCGCCGATGTCTGGTGGTGATCTATGGTGTTCTATGGTCATTGACAGAATTGATTGCACATATCATGTTCCGCTTCCAATCCCAAGAACCCAAAAATCCCAACTGCCACTGCCAAAACCAGCATTTCTGCCCTTGTGAGAGCATGTTGCATTCCCAAGAGTCTATCTCCTGGAACAATCTTGAATCTTGTATACCACATCTATCTTATATGAGTGTTGACACAATCTTTGTTTTGTGCAGTGAGTGACCCTCAAAACAGCTTCTGCACATCCAACTATATAATATATGCATTATATCTTATAGTTCGCTTTATTATCTTTATTTATATGAAACCCCCTAGTTGAAGAAAGGAAAACAATCCACACGTTCTCACCACACGATCCATGACATGAAAAACAAACCACACAACAAAACAATCTGGTCAGCAACAAAAACAGCAAGAACATGTCTCATAGCATGAACATCCAATGGGTGTCCACAATGGACTCCCACATGTCTCACGCCCACAGTGCAATGTCGGATGGTTTCTTGGAGATCCCCTTCAAAAAACCCCGCGCGTCGCAACTATGGGGGCAACGAAATACTCCACTCCAGGCAACTCAAGGTGCCCTCGCCGACGCTAAAGAGCGTGGGATCCACCCCTCGTGCACTGACGTTGATCTGGATGTGCCGGGCTTTGAAGCGATCGTTCCTCGGGTGGCGTCGGCTCGGAGCGGCTTGGAGCGTGAACGGAGCGCTTGGGGAGTGTGGCCGCGCGAAATCGGCGAAGAGCGTGTTGGAGGGCATGGCTTTTTTGGGCATAAATGATGGTTTTAGGGTGAGCAGCTGATGGTTCTTTGATGGTTTGGTGGCCGTTTTGGTCAGCCAACGGCCTTTGTTTGTGGTACCTGCAGGCAAATGGCTGGTGGCCAGAACTTTGAGCTAGACCCAAACACCATTGGCTAAGGAAGTTCTAGGTCTCAGGATGACCTCCAAGTTCGGCACCCCCTTTGTGACTCCGATGTCATCGCCCTCCACTACCACGGCAGAAGCCTAGATCCTCGTAGATCCCACTTTCTTCCGCCTCCCACATGCCTTAGGGAACTGGCGCTCGTTTTTCAAGACACGAGCAGCTCGTGCTGTGAGTACACCCGATCTGCCAAGATCTGTCGCGTCACATCGGCGAGACGTCCTCGCACGTCCCGAGTCTCTGGCCTGCTTGATCCAGCGATCTCCCCATGGATGTAACGCCTGGAAGCTGGATGCTTTCGGAACCTCCAAGAGCTTCATAGTAGAGCCCACGTAGATTCGACCCCCTAAGCCTCCATCTCCCAGTCTTGCAAGGCTTGCTTGTAACCAAAGCAAGCTTTCAGGTCCAGCACTGATTTCCAGTTCACCAGCCAAATAAGCTGGATCCCAAATCTCCAGCACCAGAAAAACCTCCCGCTTCAGGTCCAGCTCCATCTCTTTCACCGAGCCTTGCGGCTCCTGGAACTCCCACACGCAGTGTGCGCGTTCAGCTCGCTCCAACGGACACCACAGCCGTCGGTGACCGGGCACTGTCCACAGCTCGCGCGGGCGCTCGCGGTCGCTCACGGTCTCGCGTGGCACGTGCAACGAAGCGGAGATGATGGGGACGTGAGCTTCCAGGGCTTCAAGAAGTTGGCAGGTTTGAGGGAAAGTGTCACAGTTTGAAACGAAGTGGCAGGAGTTGTTCATCAAAAAGGTGATAGGTTGATCATGTTGCGCCGCCATGGCGTGCAGTGCACGAAGGGCCTCTGCTTGCAGCTCCGCTCCATTCTCCAGCAAACGATGCTCCAGCAGTGCTTGAGCTTCTTCCAACTGCCGCACTCTTTCCAGGTCCGTGCGCTGTTCTTCCTGTGCTTGGACGTGCCTTGTTCTGTGCACCACGGGGCTTGGACGACCTGAAGCAAGGACATTGATGCAAAGAAATGCAAGAAATCTCCACCTCCCACCCAACGAAAACAAAACAAACATGGGTTGAAGTTGAAATGAATTTGCCGTGAGATGCTGGAGTGCTTAGAGGGGATCCCGCGACCTGATGCCTTTCTTTCACACCAACTTGTCCCAGCGCGAATCGGCTGTTGTCGCGCATCGGCGAAATGAGAGCAGCGGAGTGTGACCGGGAGGGAGGTGGGAAATGGCGTTCAGGACTCCAGAAACCTTGAGAACACGCGGCATCTTTTATATGCTATATAGGACTATAGTTATTTTATATTATAGCCTAACATCCGAAGCCAATCAAAGCTCGTTCACACCCTGAACTCTTCATGAAGTTCAGTTGAAGGCACGAAACTCCTCGGTGTCCCACAGGCTTTCTTTGAAGTCTCCAACCAATCGTCTCTCCCAAGCCTCCGCCTCCGCGTGACGGTTGAGCCGCCTGAGCCCCTCCAACGCCTGCCTTGGAGTTGTGGCCAAGAACCTGGACCCTCCAACAGGTCACGAATTGAGACCTGTTAGGGCCCACCAACCCTCAACTAACGACCTGTGAAAGGGTACTGGTAGTGGATTGAGAGGACCAATGGCACAGACCCCAAGAGGTGGTTTATATATGGACCCCCATCTAAAGGACATCATGGGGTCTGTGCCATCTACTCTGAAAACCACTGTAAACTAAATGTATTAAAAACATCTTCCCCAGGTTTGTGGAAAACATCACCTGATCCGCAGTTCACCAGGCTGCAAGGCTGCGAAGCGATTGCGGCCGCAAAGCGTCAAGGCCCGGCGCCAGGCCTGCAGCGTTGGTCGATGCTCGGCCAGGTAGAGCCAGGATTCCAGGCGGAAGGGCCATCGTTCAACCGCCTCGTCCAGTAGAGTGGTCCAAGTTGAGTCAGATCTGCGGATCTGGGGCAACAGCGCAAAGAACAGATCCGGATGCGGAGCCCATTGAGCAAGACTGCTGGACGACCCTGGCCGTGTACCAGTAGCTGCATCATGATGTGGGACCTTCAGGAGTGGTCGACAACGCTGCGGATCCCCAGACTCGTTCTCTTCCACGCAGCGAGATGCACCTTCTGCACGGACGCGCCGGTGCCAGCGGAGCCTCCGCAACGCGGCCTTCGCTTCCCAATGGCCGGCACAGGCTCGTTGTGCCTTGTGCAGCTTCCCTTCGACTCGCTCGGCGTGCGTCTCGTTGAGGAACACGGCGTGGTGCCAGCTTTCGGGAAAGTTCGGAGACAAGTACAGCAAGGGGCCAGCCAAAGCTCGGACCTCGGACAGCTTCGCTTGGCAGGTCCTGCAAGAGCAAATCCAACATGGTCACTGATTCACTTTAATGTGTTTCATAAGGGTTAACCACTAGGTTGAGAATCTTTCTGGGTGATGAAGATCATCTTTAAAACCGCAATAAACCCATTGCCATAGCAATCAGTCTGTTCCTTTCACTGCAATTTGTGATACTTCTTCAAAGCATGTCGACCAAACCGACCAAACCTCTTCAACGTCAGACCTGTCGACGGCACCGCTCGACCTGCCCCTGTTGGACTGTACCGCCCACCTCTCCTGCTGGCGTTTGCACCGAGACCAGAAGTTCGACCCAGAACCGTCAGCCCATTGTCTGCAAGGGAATGCTCTAAAACCTCCCATTCACCGGCAGCCTCGGATGAGCTGGCATGGAGAATCTGTTTCGCTTCAAATCTGGGGAGAGTCAGTTTCGAAACAGTCTGAAACACCAACAGTTTCGTTATGCTCACTTGACCACCAGTATAGTTAACACGAAGTTAAAACTCTGTTATCTCTCGGGGTGCCCGCCCTTTCTCCATTGATTTCCTCTTTGGCTGCAGTAAACCATAATTAATGTGTTCTTGAATGTTCTTGAACCTCTTCACCCCAGAAATATTAGATTCCCGGCTGCCGGGGCATCCAGCAAAAATTGACCTCTGCTCATCCCCAGCATCCGAGGGTCCCTTCAACCACCCCTCGATGGCCACCTGCAAGCCTGAACCCAGCTGCTCCAGATCTGCTTGGGCATCTCGCAGCGCTTCCTCCACATGCTCCAAATCCAAGTCTTCCAACGAAGACGCCGCTTGGGAATGCATCAACTTCCCCACGTGGTACGCCTCACACGTAAGGCGTTTTTTTTGCCGCACTACATCGTTCAGAGTCGAAAGCACCAGCCATCCAAAAACGTTCATGCGTTTTTCCAGCACCAGCCAGTCAGACATCTGTTGTCTCCTGCTTGTTTGTTTTGTGGCAGTTCCGTACCTGGATGCATTGGTCGATATTATTGTTGTTTCGACTTGCTGGTCACCCTTCCGCCCTGCTGGTCACCCCGCCTGCTGGTTCTTCAAGATCTTTTGCTTGCGGCGATGTGAAAACAAGGTGCCGTCGTCATGGATGGGCTCGTCTTCTGTACCAAAGGTCTCGGTATCATGCAAAATGATGTAGGACTTCGTTAAGGGCCCAAAGGCCTCCAGTTCCTGGGCCAGCTGCTCTCGCGTATGGGCCGTGTCGATGAACAGGAGATCGGGTGATGGAAAGGAGGAGGACTCTTCGCCTGAAGAACAGGGAGGTGAGAAAGGATAGATTGACTTCAAACTTGTCTTAGGCGATGTTGGTTCATGACCCTGAATGGGTTAGAAGATGTTAGAAGTCTTTATTTCATACCATCACTCCTTATAGCTTCTGGTACAGCTAACATGTGATTGTGCTGGACCTTCAAATAATCAATGCATCATGAACAACTCAAGAAACACCTTTTCTGAAACAGCTAAGTCCAGCCACCCTCTCCTTCGAAGTCACCAATGGTCTCCAGAAAGCTCTGGTTCAACACATCTCCCTTTCTGAATCGAACCTCCACAGGCTCACAGCCTTGCAGGAACGGCATCGTCCTCTGGACGCCAGGGGCATCAATGATGTCATACATGCGATATCCTGCAGCAGGAATCTGTCACACAACTTTTAGTTTTGCATTGGAATCTACCCCGACAGGGCTCCGAGTTCGGCCCATCTCCGAGTTCGGTCGGAATTCGAACCCCCAAGACCGACCACCCCAGTCCCACCTCACTCCTGGCCTAGGGATAGGGAGACCCCACTGGAGACCAGGGGTCTCGATTTTCCCAACCGAACCCAGGGGGTCGTCTTTCTGCTTCGATTCACTCTGGTGGCAATCTGAGATCCACCAATTGTGGTGGAACGATGCAGTTATATGGATCCCGGAAGCACTGGAGGGGTTCGACATCTCTTAAAATGCAACTAATCACCTGAAGAGAAACTCATGTCACCTCTCTTTCGACAGGAAACTTTGGAAACAGCCTCAGTTTGGGTGGTTGGTGGTCAAACAAGAGCTCGCTCACTCAGGTTCTATATCAGCTTCTAGCTCTAGCTAGCTACCGATTCAGCAGATCCCCAAGTGTCGGTATCGCTCTCCACGCACCGCCGCTTCCAATGCCGCCCGCGCAAAGGCCACGGAGGAATGCCCCCGCGCCACGCCCAGCTCCGCGACAGAGGTCACGCGCCGGGCGTACTCGAGTAGGGTTGGAAGATGACCGCCTTGGATGGGTCCATGGACGCCCCGTCGTGAAGGGGGTCGAACTGTTCGGTGTTCGTGTTGCGGAGATGGTTGGGGTGGGTGTTGTTTGCGCTTTTTTGTCTATAATGATATGGGCCGTTCGGAGCCCTGGTGCCCTAGGAATGGATTCAACAAATCGATTCTGAGAATTTCATTGAATCGAATCGATTTGGTTGAATCCGTGTTGAATTGATTTTTTGAACAATGAATCAATGAATACAGAATTCAGAATCTTTCAACATTCAACACATGGATTCATTATGATTCATTGATTTGTCTGGAGCGGAAGATTCTGGGGAGATGTTCGGAGCGGATTGTGAAGGTTTCAGGCGACTTCGTAACAGGTTTTCATTCGACCGATGCGGCCAATGTCTCTGACAGGTGGCTTTGGGGTTCTGGACATGTGAAGAGGAGCCTCTGCAAAGAAATGAGCTCGTTTTGGATCCGCTTTTGGGTCTTTGGATTTCGTGGTCATCCATATACTGGGGCCATGCTATCCCATCCAAGGGAATGTCCTTCAAACGAATGAAAACAAAACAGAAACAACAACCTGCGTAAAGAACCGGTGCTTCAAAAGACAGTGCAAGGGACCCAAGGACAAGAAAAACATCCGAGAAAACTGAGAGTTATCATGATATTCTGGACTCAAACTCTACTCTAATACTACCATGGTAATCCACCCGATATGTCCTAAGACACCCTGCTTCATATTCCCACCCAATGCACCACTTGACAGAATACACAGCAAAAAAAAACTATTTAAAGCGCTTCATGGGCACGTATGTCGCAGGACTCAGCGCCTTCCAAGATCTTCTCATAGACCTCCTCCAGCGCCTCGAGCGACCTCGCACAACGTGCGGTGGTGGTGTGAGCTGCGCGGTCTCCAAGCTCCGCGAGATGCGCCACGGGACACAGCAGCGCAAGGATGGTCCATGGGAGGAAACGTGAAGCAAAAGGCATCGGTTTGAGAAGTGCGGTTGGCTCGGATTCTGATTGGGTTTGAAAAATCCGGACTGACCCACAACTGTGTTCATGCTCGTTGAAGCACATGTTCTTTCTTGCTGCTCAGAGTTCTGGTGAGCAGAAATTTGAGTAAAAGTAGAACTGTTTGAGCTGTGTGGACTCAACACTAAGTCAGCAGTTGCTTGTCATCTTTTCTTGGATTTGCTCTGGAAAAAACTAAAAACCGTTCCCCAGCAGGGGATTGCATAAAGGGAAAATAAAACAAATCACCTGATCCGCAAAACCCGGTTTGGGGTAGTAGCATCATGGACGGTTTTCTAAGCCAAAAGGACATTGCTCTCAGCAATTGTTGTTTGATATCTTTGAGGCTGGCCTAGATCCGGATATCAACTCAGAGGTGACAAGTCAGCCCACTTTACCAGAAAATACTGCAATGCATAGATTTGTCTTCCTGTTGCGAGACCTGTGTAGTGGGCCCTATGACTTTTCCTTCGTAAGGCACTCAGCTAAGCTTGCTAAGCCCAACAGCTGACGGCCATGCGCAGCATGTGAGGAGCCCAGGGAAAATCCTGAAAACGGGCAAAAGCAAACGTACACAAAGCCAGGCGAACACAATCAAAAGCAAACAAAAACAGAACAACAAGCCAGGCAAAAAACAATCAAAAACACGACTGCCAGGCACCGAAAGCTGCCATCCACTGGAACGGGTTCCGGACCCCCCCAAAGTCCGCTCAACCTGGTCACCCGAAACGTCCAGCGGAGCGCCGTTTCAGCGCCGAAAAAGGAACGAACGTCCGAGAGCCGATGCCATGCTCTACGTACCGCATGAGACGGCATGAGGCGTATGTCTTGTATCGATGAGGGTCTCACATAGGAAGCTGATCAGCCGTTCCATGCGCTCGTCCCCCGTCAGCAGCCAGGAGACGTACCTCGGGACTGGTAAAAATATGATCCCCCCAAACAAATTGGTGTTACTTAGTATAGGGCTTGGCTCGGGCCATGAGTCATAAAGGGCTACTGAATGGTTTTCGGCATGTGTCTGGAGACTATGTAGATATTTTAAGTAAGAATGAGATGGGTTTATCTGAAAGACCTTGGACTAATAGACCCTCAATCACATGCGTTCCTACTTTGACACATATCCAACTCTAAGTGAGGTTTTGAACTCTGCTGCGGAGTTTGGAAAACCATGGTGGTGAACAAGCCCAAGCTGCATTCCAATAGATCCACTGAAAGGCATTCCTTTATATTGTGAGTGAACATCAACACCTGCACCTTTGCAACACTATGGACTATGTCTGTTGTTGAACCTCCACCGGATTGGTCGATTCCTTTCGTTTTATTTGACACACCGCCACACCTGACCCGTGGTGGTCCAATCGGGCTCCTTGACCTCTGAAGCGGTCCACTTGCTAACCCAAATACACCATGAAAACATACCATATTTACCGGACATTGGGTGGTTGACCTGAAGTCCTACACTAGTTGCTGTGGGGGCGGGGCTGACCCGGAACACACATTCTATGGTTCTGTCAGTCAGTATGTGCAAAAACAATCAACATGCATCCGGTCATGTACTCACCTCAAAGTGTAAGAAGTTCTCACCAAGGTACTTCCAGTCTTGCGTTTCATTCAAATGATAAGAGAGCTTTGTCCCAGCCGGCATGGCTGTAATCATCTCCTCGATCTCTCGCCAGGATGGATAAGTCTCACCACCCGGATAACGGCGCCCCTCGAGGGTCACATCGGAGTCTCGGTAGCCCACAGCCCTCTCCTTGGCTGACGCTAGGCACCCTAGGCACCCTAGGCCCACCATTGATTTAATGGTCTGAATCCCAAAGAACCATTCTTTTACTAAGGATTACAATACAATAGTTTACACTACACAACAAGGTGAACCATGTTTGTAGTGGTCTTGGAAGGCTAGCAGCTGATGGATCTGCACGATATGCGGATCCATACTGTACCACTCCACAAGGCACGAAGGCGGGTAGATATACAAGTCCCTCAGTCCCTCAAGTCAGGAGAAACTATAGATTCTTCTGGAATGGGGACTATGGTGATGGGTTAACATCCACTGGAGCCCCCTTCCACCCTGCTAGCTTGGACCATTCAGCAGGTCTCTTACAGTGATGATGCGACCTCCAACAGTGAGCAAACCGACACGTCTCTTGCCTCAGATCTTTGAATGGGACTGGCATATAGTTACTCATCACTTGGGGTGGCATCCACCAACGACGTGGTGTTCTTTTTCGGGTTTGGGGCTCATGTGTATGAATGTACTCATGGATGTACCTAGACCCGACTTCAAGTACTCTAGAAAATGCGAGTGCTTTGGGAATGATCCTATCGCTGTACATGTTTGCAGCACTGGTCGAAGGCGGATCTTGAGATTATCACCATGTCTGCCATTGGCTCGGCACCTCTGCACCTCTTTGAAATTGGGAACCACCTACCAAACACACCCAAAAACACAAAAGAAAAACACAAGAAGTCTGAAAGCCTGGTTCTTCAAAGTGACGGAGCTTCATATCCTGGTTTGAGGTTGCTTAGACCTGCAAAAGGTCACTGGATGGGACTCGAAAAAAGGTCATTTTGAAGAAGTCCACCAGGTTATAAATATCTTCACCAGGCATCCCAAGGAAATCCTTGATATGCCAACTGAAAGGCTGCGACGGGCTCCACGCGGCATGCGTCGGGCCTTTGGAAGAGCTTGCCCAGTCGATCACGTGGATAGGTGATATCCAAACCACCTCAATTCAAAGCTTCCAGCTGCCACATAGGCGCAAGCCAATGCAGCGAATGTGTAGAACTGTAGAACCCTTGTTTGGAAGCTCCCCTTTTTCTAGACCAAAGACAGTAGCCAAAACAGTAGGCGAACCAAAAGCCCCTCTCTTTGGGGGGTCGGCCACGGGCGAACCAAAGCCCCCTGAATAGACGTCGATGAGTTCGCTACTTGGCACCGCCGACGTCCGGGCGAACCACGCCACTTTGCACCGCAGTTCCGGATCCTTTTCACCCCCCAAGGACGAGCAATTCGCTCCGTGGAGGAGCAATACGGAAAGGAGGTGTGTGGACCCCAGGGGTGACACTCCCTGAAATGATCATGGGAAGTGGCATTGGAGGACCCTTTTCCTTGAGAAAACATGTGTTTTTCCATGGTTTTCCACTTCTTAGTGACTCGGAGTGTATTGTCTTACCCGTCGTACTTAATTGGCTCCCCAGTGACTAGAATCTGAACCCCCCACAAATCTAAAACAATACGATGGGACCCCAAGGGTTGCTTGCAACAGAAGAACTCTCCAGCGACCCCACTTGTGAATCCCGATGTGTTGACCGATCACGATCCAAGCGGCAAATGCCAAACTCCAGCTTTCGGGCTCTCATCCCAGCAGTTCAAAGCGCTGGTAGTTCAAAGGACTAGCCAAAGATTTGCTCACCATGGAGGACGCATGAGGCTTGAAGCAAAGTCTGCAAAGCATGTGACATTTGAAACAATGAGCAGTGGGAAAAAATTAGTCATGATGTCAAATCTCCTACTCCATCGACACGGATTTGCCAAACAAAAAACTCGAGTTGAACTGTGTAGATCCTGTGTCTCCAAAGATTATCGATTCCAAGTTCTGATATTTAGAGCTGCGGTAGACGGTTGTGATAACATGATGACGGGCTTATGAGTGAATCCAGTTGGTATTGGTTACCAGCTGAATTGTGGTGTTTGAAGGTTGCCAATGGTGAAACATATTTCCACTGTATTGTCGAAAACAAATTGACAAAACCTGATTTGAACACCACTAAACATTGCTTTGACCCCTATGGGAACAGGTCTCATGTTTAAAGTTGTCATCATCATCCAACAACTATCAACAACTGAGGTGTCGCGTTGCCAACAAAGCCGCGGTCCGACTGGCCTTCTCTATGCTCATCCTCACCAGCCTCGAGCACACAACGCAGAAGAGTCTTTGCAGAAGTTTTCCTGGTATTTCTGATGATTTTAGCCAAATACTAATATTACCCTGCAAAAGGTGATACAAAACGAATCTGGCCATAGAACAAAACCATTCAAGTTTAAGAGTTTTCGTTGGCGTCCTATGTCGAGCGAGCATGTGAAACCCCAGCGAGCACGGTCCTTCACGGTCCTTACTAAATAGGCAAAACTCCGGAAATTTGCATATATAGCACATCACAGCCCTCTGCATTCTGCTTGCTGGCATGCCTCTTGGTATGACGCCTCCGGGTCGCCCAGAGGCTCAGGCTAAGCACAACGCGCTGACTCACAGATACAACATCTTGGACTTGATCCAGAAGTTTCGAACCAATCCCTAGGCTTTGAGGGACCAAGGGTCTGGGTACATCGTTTTGGGGCACAACAAACCATCGTTTTTCACTCTGGGCTCTCCTGCCCGGACCATCACGGCTAAACAAGACACCCGCTTGAAGAGACCTGGCAGCTCGGCTCGGCTGCTCAAGAACGGATGGTCTGGTGCGGTCTCCTGCTTTTGTGGGAATGACATGGAATGACATGTTGATGTGATTGATGCATCTTTTCCTCTGAAGGACCCTCAAAGCCAAACTTCAAAACATCAGTCAGTCCATTATATTGAAAACACAATTTACCCTGAGAGTGGTTATATGTCTTTTGGGGAAAATATGTGAACCCAACGGCACGAGGACAATTCATCGGCTCACGCTTCATGTTGGCGTGGCCTCAGGCCAGGTTGACCTGGACAATCGCGGGGTATGCAAAAAAACTCTGACCAGCCCACCAGTCCAAGTGTTCATGAACGGAGCACGAGGGCACCTGTTTTCTTGTTTTGAGTGTGGATGCCAAGACCCATGTACAGTACAAGGTGGGGGGGAAAGAAACTTAACACATGCACCTCTGAAACTGATGACGACCGACCAACCACCTCCCGGCTGTGTGCCTCGAGTGCGGTAGGGTTCCAATGAAGCACGAAAGAGTCCCTCAGAGATCTCCTTTAGCGAGAACCGATGAACCTCTGGAGCATCGAGAAAAAGAATGGAACCCATGAACCCGCATGCAAACACGTACTCGGAGACTAATTAACGCCCAAACATGTTTTGATAGTCTTGTAGGAGACGCTCTTGTAGAACGCTCTTGTGGGACACTCTCGTGCGACACTTTCGTCACTCTGCGGCACACTCTTGCAAAACACTCTTGTGGGGCACCCTGTCTCTGTGGACTCTTGCGGGACACTCACGTACGCAGATGTAGTTTGGACAGTTCTGAGGCCACAGCTAAAGTTGCCAGTTCTGAGGCGCGAGGGATCAGAAGCCACTTCCCGCACAGCTCCCAGGAGCTGCTTCCCACATTGCATTTGCCCTACAAGTAGTGCACTCTTGTGGGACACTCTTGTAAGACACTCTTGTGAGACCTAGCTGTTTAGTTGAACCTGAAAAAAAA